TCACTGGTCTTCATCTCCTCTGGTGTACTTTTTAAAATCTCATACTTTGGTACTTAAATACATATATATGCCTTTCTTAAAACATTTTTAACATGTTTTATTTTTGTAATATTTGATAATACCACATATAGTTGTAACAGTGGATATGTTTGATGCTTAAAAGAAGTCATAAAGCATTATATGAATATATTGAAATCTGTCCATTCTACTGTCCAGTGATCATTTGGGTTATTTCCGGTCTTTTGCTATTACAGACAAGGCTGTAGACTCTTGCCCAACTCAGGCAACACACGTGCAAGAGGTTCTGTGTGGTATATTCCAAGATATGGAATGACCAGGTTCTGCAATGATGAAATGTTTAACTGCCTCAGGCAGCTCTGATGATAGACAATTGATGCTGATTGTTTTTGATAAATGTCCCAAGCAAAGGTTAATTGCACTGGGTGTGCTCTGAGTCAGCTCAAAAAGAAATAAGCCTTGTGAGTGAGGATTTTTCAGGGAACTGCTACACAGGCCTAATAGTAAAAATTGTTTGGAAATAGGCCTTTGAAAGAGCTCTAATTCCACTCTGAGCCCCAAAAAGAAATAAGCCTTGTGAGTGAGGATTTTTCAGGGAACTGCTACACAGGCCTAATAGTGAAAATTGTTTGGAAATAGGCCTTTGAAAGAGCTCTAATTCCACTCTGAGCCGAGTGGCTGCTAGTTTGCTTGTTTTCACTGTAATTGTGGGCTGTTGGTTTATAAGGCCACCATAGAGTTCTTCCAGAAACTCAGCTGTTTTTCTTGAATATATGCCACCCAGATTGTTGTAAGCCTTTGGTTTAATTCCTGGTTTCTAAAAAAAAAGATTTTGGACATTTTTTAAAGCCAATATTCTCATTGCTTTTATGGAAAGGGATATTTCGAAGGTCCTTATTCCACCACTCAGGATGACATCGTCTTAAAATTAATTTTAATGTATCTGAATTAATCAATCTCTTCTTTTACAATGCCATGTTTAAGAAGTCCCTTTCCATCACAAATCCTAAAGCTATTCTTCTATACTTTTTCTTAAACAGGTTAAAAGAAAATAGAATATAGACTTTTTCTGTTAAAATGTTTTAAAGACAGTAGAATATAGAATAGAAGAAAAAGAATGGAGAATAGAATTCTATATTTTCTGGTAAAAAGTTTGAAAGTTTTATTTTTAAAAATCTGCAGTGTCTTTAGTTATGTCTCTTTTTCATTCTTGGTAATATTTATGCTTTCCCCTTTTTCCTTAATATCACCAGAAGAGTTTCATTTTGTCATTATTTTTATAAAACCACATCTATATTTTGTTAATTAATTTTTTGTATCTTTAGTTCTATGTCAGTGTTTTCATGCATATATATTATCTCTATCCTACTTTCTTTGTATTCAGTAAAGGATATTTTTATAACTTCTAAAGTTAGATGCTCAGTTCAGTTAATATTCTGCATTTTAAAAAAATCATTCTTTAAGCTATACATTTCATTTAAATCACTCTTTCACTGCATTCTATGAGTTTTGTATGTAGCAATTTTAGTGTCTTTGGAATGAATGGTACTGTAATAGTTCCTTCTTAGGCTCAGGTATATTTAAAAACAGAGCTGTCACTAGACTAGGTGGTATCTTTGTACTAATTAGAAAAAAGACTGCTGTGGTTGAAGATCCTTTATTTCTCCCTGACAGAACATTATATTAACAAATATGCAGATCTATAATGTCTATAATGTGAATGGCGTCCTTTATAGAGAGGGTCCTTGTTCAGTATACAACCTGCACAACTGTATACTGCAGATTCTACTTAGAAGTGCCAGTAGAAATTTCCAAATATACTGGGTTTTTAACATTTATCCTTTTGTTACTTATTTCTTACCTAAGTGTGTTGATTTAGAGCAATGATAACAATTATTTGTAACTTTTTAAAAATGCTAGTATGTGGCCAATTTTTATGAAGCTTCTATGTGTCCTTCAGTTAGTCAAGATTCTTAATTGTGAATAGAAGGTTTAATATTAGTGGATGAAGTTAAGCTTGTTCATTTTGTAGCCAAAATTTTATCAATTTTTTATTATGTGTATTTTTTGTCTATATGATCTATTAGTAATTGAGAAATGTGTTAAAATTTCCACTCCATTGTGAATTTTTTTTACATCTTTCAGTTTTAACAAATTTTGCTTCAGATTTTTTTGTAGCAATCAATCTTATACGGAAAAAAACAAGTTCAGAAATTTTATATTGTGATTATGAATTGAATATTTCATCATTATGAAATAATCTCTCTACTCCTAAATATTTCTTTTGCTCATTGAAGTATATTTTATTTCCCTTACAATGGTTATCCTAGCTTTCTTTTGGTGAATATTTGCCTGGTATATCTTTCATTTTTCAACTTTCATATGTTCTCAAGTTTTATTTTTGTTTGCCAGTGTTAAGGGGATCCAAACTCTTGATTTTTGTTCCTAAATTTTAGATTAAGATTTAGTGAAAGATTAAATGGCTGATTCTCTTTATCTCTTTCTTTCTTTTCGAAGTGTAACTTGCAATCTTTCCATCTAGTAATTGGTGAGTTTGGAGCAGTTACATTTATTGTGATTATTGACATGCTTGGACTTATTTCTACATTCTTGATCTGTGCTTTTAATCTATAGATCTAATCTGCATATTTTTATCTGTGCTTTTAATCTACACATTTTCACTTTTTTTCATATACTGAATTCTCTGGTCATCAGTTTTCTTACTCTATATTATACAATTCTGGTTTAGAAGACTTTAGCTGCATTTCTCTCTCCTTTAGTGATTATTCTTAATATTTCACACTGCCTATCTAACAAAGTGTAAATTACATAAAACTTCCCACTCAAAATAAAAAAGATTTTGAAATATTTTAAATGGAAGCACCGTTATTGATTTACAATATGTTGTTGTCAAAACCAGAGGCCCTTTCCCCAAAGCCAGCCATAGAGACTAAAATTATTCTCTAATCTTCCCCACACCAACTCTGCCTTTCTGACTTGGAGCTAGCCATAAAGAAATTCTCTGACATACCTTGTCTGATAGTAGGTCATAAGACCCCCATTCCCAAAAGTGTCCTGCCTCATCCCCTGGAGGAATCAATGCTATGCAGAGAGGCCGAGTAGAATCCAAATGGACAAGCTTGGGATCCCCTGCTTAGTCTATCAGCATTAGATCATGCTTTTCTTGTCTAATCATATTTCTACACAGCTGGGCCTGCTTCATAGAACCTAAGCATAAAAATGAACAGTTTTTCTTATATCTTTAAGTATTTATTCTGCAAGATCCCGGTCACGTAAAACTA